ACAGGGGTCATATATGATTACACTCAGTAATGTATCTTGGGCTAACGTGTGAAATAAACGTGATGGAAGAAAGTTCATGAGTGTATTATAGACGTTACCACTAGTATTTGTACTAACATGTGAAATAAAAATGTAAGGGAGGTATATGTTATTTAAAACATTAACTAAACTGGTTTATGTAATTTTCTAAAAGGGAGTTGGTATTTTTGAAATTGACTGAAAATTCATGAGAGGTTTGTATAATTTTTCCTTTTAATTTTGAAATTTATCGTTTTAAAACTAAACTTTGTTGCATCCAAAGTTTCACTTATCCACTAACTTTTATTTGAGCCTAAGGAATAAACACTGATGTGCTCGACAAGACAATTCGACAATATTAAATGATACCGTGAACAAATACTGTCTATGTATTACACAGAACACACTCATATTTCATAGAGAGGAAATCATTGATTGTCGTAGATCAAAAAAGAATTTGATATAAATGATATTTAACTCTAAAGTTATGGTATCTCTAATTTAAGGTAGCATGTAAGTAATGCCATAATTTGTAATGATCTCTTGCTCGATCAAGAAAGAAAGATAATCAGGAAACCTAGAGGGGCTTGTTAATCAAACTTCTTGCTGAAACTCTAAAATGTTGGTCTAGTAAGCTATGTTGTCATAGATGTGAGGCACCTGCTAAGCTTCTCGAGCTGATTATCGAGGTACGTTTGAGTAATTTCCAAGCATGAGCATTGAAATTAAGGGTGACAATAATTTAGTTTATCATCAAAATCTATTATCCAAATTGAGTATTTGATACCATGTTTTCTTTTTGGCCACATAATGCGAATTCACTTTATTCTAAATGTGAAAATCATGGCTCAAATTTATGTATAGATGCATGTATATATCAAATTTGGAATAGAAAGAACAATGAATTTACTATAATGGTAGTATTTGAGAGAGAAAAAGGTGTCACTGTGTGAACAAAATGGCGTTCTCTTTCATCAATTTATCATTTTGTCTCAAGTGTTTGAGATATGGTCAAATGACTCGAATATATTGAACGTGACGTGAGTCTACTATGAAGAGTGTGAGACTATTATATATAGACTCAGCTCATGTGGGGCCCTTGCAAACTGCATCTTGTTTTTACATATATGCTTACCACCTTGTTTGATAAGCCAAAACGTGATTATGTATTATGTGACTTGTCTAACTTAGGCCACTAAGGTAGTAAGATTGTGAGTCTGACCCAAGCCTAATCCAAATTGACCAAAGGTTGATTGATTTGGGTTGGTTTGGGTAGAAAAATATTCAACTTGAATTATTCAGTTCAGCTTTGGGTTGAACATTATTCATCTTCAATTGTTCAGTTAAGCTTTGGGTTGGATAGGTTTTCAATCCAACCCAAGCCCACCCTTAATAGGAGCAAAATATTTTTGTATTATATGGAACATACCCATATTCTATAAAGAAAGAATCATTGATCTTCTTTGATCAAAGAAAATTTTGATATATATGTAATATATCGACTCTAAAGTTACGGTATCTTGAATTTAAGATAACATGTAAATAATGCCTTAATTTACAATGATCTCGTGCTTGGTCAAGAAAGATGAAGCTAGTAAGGAAATATAAGAAGCTTATTTAATCGAGCTTCTTGTTGAAACTCTGAATCTCGATCTAGTAAGCTATGTTGTCATAGATTTTAGACAGTTGCTAAGACTCTCGAGCTCGTTGGAGAGGAAGACTTGAGTAATTTCCAAGCCCGAGCATCGAAATTAAGAGTTACAATAATTCAGTTTATCATCTAAATTAATGATTTGAATTGGGTATTTGATACAACCTTTTCTTTCTGGCCGCAAAATGCGCATTCACTTTATTCTAAATGTCAAAATCATGGCTCAAATTTATGTGTATATGCATGTATATATCGAAATTGGAATGCAAAGAACAATGGATTTTCTGTAACAGTAGAATTTTAGAGAGAAAATGTGTGACTGTGTGAGACGAATGAGTAAGCAAAATAACATTCTCTCTCATCAATTTTTCATTTTGTCTTAAGTGTTTGAGATACGGTCAAATGACTCGAATTTATTCAACGTGACGCGAGTCTAGTATGAAGAGTGTGAGAGTAGTATATATATATATATACTCGCCTTAATGTGGGCCCTTGAAAACTGCATCGTGTTTTTACATATATGCCTATCAGTTTGTTTGATAAGCCAAAATGTGATTATGTCTTATGAGACTTGTCTAACTTAGGCCACTAAGGTTGCAAGATTTTGAGTCTGACCTAAGCCCAATCCAAACTGACCCAAGATTTATTGATTTGGGTTGGTTCAATTTTGAACCTAATCTTGGGATTTGGGTAGAAAAATATTCAACTTGAAATGTTCAATTCAGCTTTGGGTTGGATTGAGAACTTAACCAACTCAAGCTCACCCTTAATAGGAGCATAAATATTTTCTTCTTGGCCGCACAATGCGTATTCACTTTATTCTAAATGTCAAAATCATGGCTCAAATTTATGTGTATATGCATGTATATATCGAAATTGGAATGCAAAGAGCAATGGATTTTCCATAACGGTAGAATTTTAGAGAGAAAAGATGTGACTGCGTGAGACGAATGAGTAAGCAAAATGGCGTTCTCTCTCATCAATTTATCATTTTGTCTTGAGTGTTAGAGATATGGTCAAATGACCCGAATTTATTCAATGTGACGAGAGTCTAGTATGAAGAGCGTGAGACTAGTATATATATATACTCGTCTCATGTGGTGCCCTTGCAAACTGCATTGTATTTTTACATATATACTTACCATTTTTTTTGATAAGCGAAAATGTGATTATGTCTTATGAGACTTGTCTAACTTAGGCCACTAAGGTAGCAAGATTTTGAGTCTGACCCAAGCCTAATCCAAAGTGACCCAAGATTTAGTGATTTAGGTTGGTTTAGTTTTGAACCCAATCTTGGGTTGGTTTGGATAGAATAATACTCAACTTGAAATGTACGATTCAGCTTTGGGTTGGATTGAAAACTTATCCAACTCAAGCTCACCCTTAATAGGAGCATAAATATTTTTGTATTATATGGAACACACCCATATTTTATAAAGAGAGAATCATTGATCTTCATAGATCAAAGAAAAAAAATGATGTAATTGTGATTTATCGACTCCAAAATTATGTTATCTCAAATTTAAGGTAACATGTAAATAATGTCTTAATTTGCAATGATTTCTTGCTCGGTAAAGAAAGATGAAGCTAGTAAGGAAACATAAGGAGCTTGTTAATCAAGCTTTTTGCTGAAATCTGAAGCTTGATCTAGTAAGCTATGTTGTCATTGATTCTAGACAACTGCTAAGCATTTTGAGCTCATTAGACAGGAAGATTTGAGTAATTTCCAAGCCTGAGCATTGAAATTGAGAGTGACAATAATTCAGTTTATAATCAAAATCTATGATCTGAATTAGGTATTTGACACCACCTTTTCCTTTTGGCTGCACAATGCGTATTCACTTTATTCTAAATGTCAAAATCTTGGCTCGAATTTATGTGTATATGCATGTATATATCAAAATTGGAGTGCAAAGAGCAATGGATTTTTTGTAACGGTTGAATTTTAGAGAGAAAATGTGTGATTGTGTGAGACAAATGAGTAAGCAAAATGGCGTTCTCTCTCATCAATTATTCATTTTGTCTTAAGTGGTTGAGATATGGTTAAATGACTTGAATCTATTGAACGTGATGCGAGTCTAGTACGAAGAGTGTGAGACTAGTATATATAGACTCGCCTTATGTGGGGCCTTTGCAAACTTCATCATGTTTTTACGTATATGCTTACTACTTAGTTCGATAAGCCAAAATGTGATTATATCTTATGTGACTTGTTTAACTTAGGTCACCAACGTAGCAAAATTGTGAGTCTGACCCAACCCCAATCCAATCTGACCTAAGATTGTTTGATTTGGGTTTGTTTAGATTTGCACCAAATTTTGGGTTGGTTTGGATTGAAAAAAATAATCAACTTGAATTGTTCAGTTAAACTTTGGGTTGAATATTATTCATATACAATTGTTCAGTTCGGCTTTTAGGTTGGATTGAAAACCTATCCAACCCAAGCCCACCCTTAATTGGAGATCATATAGATTTAGTTATTATTACTAAATATTGATGTCAAAATTATGGTATCTCGAATTTAAGACTGGATGTAAGTAATGGCTTAACTTGCAATTAAGGGTGACCATTATTTAGTTCCTAGTCAAAAGCTGTTCCCATCTACAATGTACTCCCTTAAGGCTCAAGGGCCCCTTAATATTATGAAATGTGCCTTTTCATGGTCGGCCGGAGACTTCAAGGCTCGAAGTGGTTGTCATGTATCAATTTGTTCCATACACCAAAACTCGGATCATAGTCACTCAGTAATATATCTCGAACTGGCATGTGAAATAAAAGTGAAGAAAGTTCGTGTGGGTCTTTCAAGCGTTACTACTAGCACGTGAAATAAAAGTTATAAAGAGAGGTATGTGTTATTTAAAACAGAGTTATTAGACCCAATCGGGACAT